ATCTTACATACATACCTTTGAATAGAGGTATTTAATAGTCCCAAAGTATCAACACAATGCCATGTGATCTTTACTTGTATAGAACTCTTCTAAAACAATTCTATTGGCTCACAAAAATTTGGTTTGTTATTTCTTTTGTTGTGGAGCTTTATAAATGATATACCAACTACTTTTAATAATTTTATTTAAAAGTGATCCATAGTATACTTTGATGCATATTTTGTCATTTAGAGTTGAGCAACTTCTTTGAAGTTGAAAATAAAACTCATCTTATTGACTGCTTTAATAGAAACTATAATCAAGATTCAAACAATGGCATCTTAATATCAATGTTCATATTTCTATTTGCCAAAATCTCAATTTTATTATACTCAAAGAAGTAATCATCCATCTTGTAGTCTTCATGCAAAGTCTAATATAGAGCCTTAGTTTAATGTATATACAAAGTTCTTTGGATATAATAATTATTACAAGAATTAACACAAAATATCTCTATTCCAACCATTCTCAACTATAACAACTAAAGCTATGACAACCAATGGTTAATATAGGCATACTTTATAAGACAAAAAATGATTCTAATAAAATCAAAATAATTTATATTTTCACAAATGATCAACTTGGAGATGTTCTTAATTTTTTTTTTAAAATAAATCTAATTTAAAATAAATAGAAATTGTCTAAACCTTCAAATTTTTATAAATCTTTGTTATATCTTTTTATATCTTCTTACAAACTCACGTACCTCTACTATACTTTAAAAAATTTTATGGATTGCAATCCTATATCCAATAACCATTTGAAAAAAATCTTTTCAACTAATATACATCCCATAGCAAAACTTGACTTGTGTTGCATAATATCAATTTCATAACCATTCTTCTATGCTTGGAACTTTCTTCACCTTCTACTTCAAGCCTTTTAAACCATCTTAAGATAATTCAACATATCTGCTACTTTATTCTTCAACAAACTTACTTAAGGACATGACTACCTATTGGCACCAATAGAGAAAATCTAAGATAGATGCTTTAGGCTCGTATCACATTGGCCAAAGTAGCCTTGGAATGGTCCCAAGCAACAAGGATAGTTGACATAAGCCAAGCTTAATACCACCTACCTATTCTAAATTGGCTTCCTAAATATCTCACTTAAAATTCTTTTCTTTCTAAGAAATCCTTCCTTCCTCCCTTTTTTCCTTCTCTCATTAAATATGTCTCTCCTTGTATTATAAAAAGAGAGAAAATACACAACATTTATATAAATTTTGTGAGTATTGAATTGATTTATATTCTTGTTGAATAAGAATTTTTTGTACTCTCTTCTTGCAAGTTTTTTTGTTGTGTAAGAAGTTTTTACATTCTCCTCTCACATATCTCATTTTTGAATTTTTTATAGCACAATTTTGTGAGTATAGAATTAATTTTTTTTTGTTGTATAGTTTTTATTTTATTTTATTTTTCTTTTTTTGGAATTGAAGCTTGGAGGATAAGATTAGTAATTGTACATGCAACTTTCATAAAAAAATAAAGATAATAATGCTAGTATTGTGATGGCATTAAGTTAGTTTGAAAGCAATCTACATACCAAATCACCACCACAATAGGACCTTGTAAGTAGTTCTTGTAGAGGAAAGGCTAAGAACATTGAAAAAGCTAGAATACTCATAGACAAACAAATGCATCTTGATTATCTTATAAATGATCTAATTTGGGATTTTTTTTATTTTTCTGCTATTTTTATATCAAAAGATTATTATTTCTTACTATTTTTTAAAAAAATTGGAAGCATGATCTATACTTCGTCAAAAAATAAGATACTTGTAGATTAGTAAGATGGTTATTTTGCCAAAAGATTATAACTGCATTTAGAATGCTTGCATTTGGTATTTGCGTACATGCCATAGATGATTATTATTGAACTAGTGAATCCATTGTAATGGAGTGTATGAAGAAATTTTACATAGTTGTCCAAGCAGTGTTTAGAGAAGATTTTGTAAGATAACCAATTATTCCAATTTTGAGCAATAGTTATTAATTAATGTAGCCTGCACATTTCTTCGTTTGTTTAGATCTTTGGATTGTATGTATTATAAATAAAAAAAATTGCCATGAGGCATAGCAAAGAGATTTTAGTAATAAAAAGAGCAAGCAATCTATTATTTTAAAGACCATAGTTGATTAAAGCCTATATATGTGGCACATTTGTTTTGCACTTCCTAGCTCAAATAAAAATCTAAATATGTTTAACCATTTTTCTTTTATATACAACATATTAATTAATAATATTTTTGAGTTTACTTTTGAAGTAAATGAGTAAGAGTGTAATTGATATTATTTGTTGATTGACAATATTTATTCTTCAAAGAGCTGTTTTGTTGAAAGCATTCACCAATTTAATGAAAGAAAATAAAACCATTTTACAAAAAAATAATAAGCATGCTATAAAAATGTGGAATGATCCTTTGAAATGTTGTAAGCTTGTTTCAACATTTTCTACAATTTTTGTTGCCAATAGAGTCTAGATACCATTATTAACATTATATTTGCATGTTATATCTTTTATAACATGATTTTAGAGGATAAATATAATGTGCTAAGGCTTTAAAATATTTTTGTGATGTTAGTTGATGAAAATATGCTATTACATACAAGCTTTTCTTTTAAAGAGCTCATGATTTATACAATTGAGATAGAAAATGATGACATCCATTATGTTTTGAGGAGTGATTTCATGAAATACTTGTGGATTTTAAAAGGTACAAAGACATATGCCTATACTTTATTATCAATAATAATATCTATGGAGGCTTAATACTATATTTATACTTTTTGTATATCCATTTTGATCAACTATTTTTTAATTATAAAAAGCTTGTAGAACTTATTGAGTTTGAAAACTCCATTGATTTCGACCAAATTTATCTTTAGTTTTTAGTTGTTACAAGTGAATATACACTACACCTTCCTAATTTACTTCTCTATCCATATGTCCATATTGCCCATAAATTACTAACATTTTCCATTTTTTTTCATTTGCCGCAATTAGATTTTTGGTAAAGTACCACTCTTCTTACTCCTTTAGTGCAATTGCATTTATACATGTTCTTTCATATCTTAATTCTCCTTCAATTGAGTGCCTCCTAGCTTAATCTATAGCAAGCCACATTTTCTTTTCTTCTTTCTTGACTTATCTCAATTGAAATTTTTCAATTTTTTTGATGATCTCAACTAAAAATATACCTTAGCCTTGAGATTTTTTAAGGTGGCTTTGTCCATAGAAATGAAGAAGAATAAGCTTTAGTCACCTAGATCCATTTCTTTTAATATTTATGCTTCCACCATTTAATGTATGGTTTATATTTGTACTTACAATGCTCTTTCTTTTTGCCTTAATTGCAAGTAGTCATCTTTGATTACCTTCGTATCTCCTAGCCAATCTTTAAATATCCTATCCACTTCTAAAATCCTTGTAGTTCTCTACTGCAAGCCTACTATGCTTTCTTAGCTTATATTTATTCTAATTTTGTCAATGTAGTCATTCTTTGATGCAAATTTTATACGTTTTTTTTTTTTTTTTTTTTTTTTTTTGGAGCTAGAAGCTTTATTTGCAACCACCATGAGTCCATCTGAAATATTCCTTCAGCAAAATCTAATAATGTTTGTATCCAAAATTTGTCTTTTTGTCACTCTTTTATATACACAACTCTTGCACATGCCTTAAGGTATTGATTACACTTGTGCCACTCCTACACAACTTTTGCACTTGCACATGGACATTAATCTACTTATTTATGTCATATTTTATGTTACTTTATTTTATCTTAAAAAAATATTGAGGCCTTGCATCCACAAACCTATGTTTGTTATAGTGATTTAGAATATCCTCGTAGAAAATTCCAACTCTCTATTAGTTGCTAATAGTCCTATCTTGGAATACATACAACACATTCTAATACAACAATTCTTCCTCTTTGTAGCAATACACCTTATCCTTTATCTCGAGACATAGTTAATTTCCAACTTCTATAACTTTTAAACCTACTTTCTTTCTTTTCATGATGAAATTGCCAACTTTTTTTAAAGATCTAATCAAAATGTATACAAAAAAATGAAGATTTAGTCAAAACTTTGCCTTCTATGCTTCTATTGTAAAAACTTCTTACTCAACAAAGAAACATATAAGAGATGAGCAAAAAAACTTCCAATATAATAAAAAAAAACCAACCAACTTTATTCTCACAAAATTGTGCTATAAAAGAAAGTGAGAAGACACATACAAGGAGAGAGTGCAAAAACTTCCTACACAATAAACCAGCATATAAGAGGAGAAAGCAAAAACTTTCTACACAATAAAAAAAAAAACATGCAAGAGGAGAGTATAAAAACTTCCTATTCAACAAGAAAACAAACCAATTCAACACTTATAGAAATTGTGAGAGTGTTTTATGAATGTTGTATAAGTTGTTATGAGTATTGTGTGGGTTTTATCTTTTTATCGTACAAGAAGGACATATTTAATAGGGAGGCTTCTTGGAAGGAGATAGAGCTAAGAGTAGAGTCTCAAAAGAACTAGTTTGAAGGGAGCAGGTAGCATCAGGTTTAACTCACGCTAATCACATGGTAGGGTGGTTGGTAGAAGTTAGGCTTGATTTGACCTGCTTGCCCTATAATAGCTCCTCCAAGACCCCATTTGAAGTCTCAACTATAACAAGAGGAAGTAATTCTCATTGCAAGCTACTAGAAAAATGCTCTATTCTATTGAGGTCGACATTGTCGGGCCATTGAATGAACCATAGTGGGGCTTGTTTTGAAGCTAAGGCAACAGACACAACCATTGGTGCCCTAACTTGACCTTTGGCTTGACATCATCTGCAACCTCCAATGCTAACATAAACAAATGAATCTCAAGATATCTTGCCATCCAAGCCACTTCACGCTGAAGAATCTTCAACAATGTCCACGAGCACATCCACATTGCCCTACGAGGCACATCCCCTTTCAAGCATTGACCTTGCTCCATTCTCTATACCAACAGTGAAAGAGAAGCTGCTTAGATCACATGGGGGTGTTGGACTCTCTGATCTAGTTCCCTTGTGGTTAGTTAGGTTATCATCCCCTAGTATTAGGGTCTCTTAGTCAGTATTTAGTCTTCCTTCTTCGTCTCTCCTTAGTGTGCTATCAGCCCCCACAGTGAGACTGCGATTAGTTTAACATGTGATTAGTTTAACAGAAACCACAGAAGAACCCACAGACAGTAGGGCAGTTGGGAAGTCTTAGCAGCAGGACAAGAGCTCTAACCCTCACGACTCTTGTGCAAATCTGACCACACAAGAAGACTCTCTCCTGCACTGCTTTGTTGAGCAGATTCGCAGATTATGGCATCGTGCATTCCGATTCCAACAATTCCTTGTGTTTCGCATAAGCAAATAATTTCAAGATGCGTTGGACGAGGTGAGTACTTCCAGTGTGCCGTTGAGCGTGTGATTTTGTTGGAGGTGATCTGAACCTGATCAAAAATGTCTTAAGTATGCATCGATTAGGTGAGAGCAATGGTCCGTGGATGAGTCAAGTTGTTTGCTAGCTCTGGTCCGTTGGGCTTCCTGTGTACTTGCTGCAGGACTGAGAAGTCAGCGATAGCTGCAAGAAGTATCAGAGGGTGCCTTGCATCGTCCCAAGAGATGCCTCCGAAACCCCCCCTTGTGGTCACACTATCTAAGGCTCTCATTAAAATGGCTGTCAGAAGTCATGAGTTGACACACAAATGCGCACTGCGCGGGTGCACAGACACTGCTCTGTCGACACTTCGAAAGCTGTGCCGATGAGGAGAATTACAGCGACAAGGTCAGAGAGATGTAACCATGGCTGGATTCACTAGCGTGAGCGCGACTGGTTGTTCTGTGTAGTGGCTGTTCTCTTGTCAACTGCTGCCCTTCGTGGTTCACCTGAATGGCTTTACTGAAATTTCGACGCTGTATTTAAGCAGAATGGGTCCATCTTCCTGTTATGAAAAGGTTCGACACAATTATTTCCTCGATAGGGGAGGGTACCGCAACCTGGAGCTGAGCGAAGCAGCGAAGGAATGGAGAGAAGATGTAAGCATCTGCACTGGAAGGCGTTTTTGGTGACCACGCCAGCCTTATTGTGGTTCGCGATGCTTCTGGTCGCAATGCGTTTGTCCTCAGCAGAACCGTTGCGAGTGGGATACTACGACCTAAGCTGTCCTAGCGCGGAGAGGATTATCAGGCAGGCCATGGAGCGAGGGATGCAGCAGGACCAGGGAATAGCAGCTGGTGTACTCCGGCTTCACTTCCACGACTGCTTCGTAGAAGTAATCACGTGATCATCGTCTAGAAAAAGTTGCTATTGTTATTTCAAGTTTTGGACTACGTTAAGCAGCTTGTGGGACATGATAATGGTTTTGTGTAGGGATGTGATGGATCAGTACTCCTTGACAACCCAAACTCGGAAAAAACATCCCCGCCCAATTTCAGTCTGCGAGGATTTGAGGTCGTAGACGCAGCCAAGGCAGACTTGGAGGCGCTGTGTCCTGGAGTCGTCTCATGCGCTGATATTCTAGCCTTCGGCGCTCGCGATGCCGTCGAATTGGTAAGTCTGAAGAAAACTCGTGCGTATTTTACATCAAATTTTGTCTTCAATCAGCCCTTTCGTCCGGGTGTAGAAAGCAGCTAACGCTGTAGAGTCTATGGATAATCTCCAAGATGGGAGGGTTAGGATGGCGAGTTCGCGCAGGCAGGTATGACGGCAGAGTTTCCAGCGCCGCTCGAGCACTTGCAGAGATTCCGGACCCACGCTACACAGTGGAAGAGATTACGGCATTGTTTGCTCGCAAGGGCTTGTCGAAGAGCGACATGATCGTACTCTCCGGTAACTTTACGCAATCCATCTGAACTCCTCTCCAGTTTCAATCATACCCCTAGTCATTCCAAATTCATAACTCTATGGCTAACCAGGAGCACACACCATCGGCCGCGCACACTGCGCTTCGGTGACGCCAAGGCTATACCCCGTGCAAGACCCGCAGATGAGCCAAGCAATGGCGGCATTTCTTAGAACCGCCTGCCCACCTCAAGGCGGCAGTGCGGCAACATTCAGCTTGGATTCCACCACACCCTACCGCTTCGACAACATGTACTACACCAATCTGATCGCAAACCGGGGGCTGCTGCACTCCGACCAGGCGCTCATCAACGACATGTCCACGCGCGGGGAAACCATCTTCAATTCCTTCGCGGCCGGCCCCTGGGCATTCCAATTCTCCCGGGTCATGATCGAAATGGGCAACATTCAGGTCAAATCGGGGCCTGACGGCGAGATCCGCCGCCACTGCAGATTCATAAACTGATTCATTCTCACACTGATTCAAGTTGCCCCTCCCCCCGGGTTGATCCAAGCACCAGCAAACATACCGAACGATTGACATGTTTGCTGGAGCTTGGAAAGTGCATTCTGTTACTGGTGTAGATTTGAGATGTGAGTGGAGTTGTAAGCGTGACAGAAACAATTTTCTTCGATCTCAGTGGGTATTGTTCTCTACCAATTTCTGACTATTAGTTGCGTTGTGTGAGTGATTCACTAGGATACCTTCTTGAAAGAGAGTTATGGTTGTTGAAGTAGCCTCTGCCTGCAATAAATCATGCTTTTAATGGGCCTCAGAATTAGTAATAATGGAAACATTAGGTTATGGATCCACGAAGATGAAGTGGGTCTGATTCAATGAGATTTTAAGAGTGTCTCTCGAACTTATATCTTGAATATTGGTTAAAATGATGTTATGTTGTGATTGGAAATAGGTTGGGGTTGATTAAAATGATGTTAAGCTGTGATTGAGAATAAGTCGGGGGCTGATTAAAATAATGTTAAGATGTGAGTAATAAATAAAATTCATTGTAGTTGAAATGTATATGTGTAAAATATCAATATAGGTGGCAGTTGTCGATTGGTTGGGGTGGAATGATATAGCATAATTAGATGCTATACTTCTTGGTTTTGTAAAAATTTGGATTCTTGGTTTTGTTACCCACCGTTGGTTGGAATTTTGTTGGTCTACGTGTCAAAAATGGGTCAAAGAGAATCTTTAGCTAAAATATTTACATAAATTCCATTTCTAAGCCATTTCTAAGCCATTTCTAAGCCAAATTGTGTAAAAACACTTAGAATCCTCTTCATTTCTATTTCCCCACATGAATATATTTTATTTTATTTTAACACTTATTGCAAATATGTTGAAATGCTTTAGTTGTTGGAAATGGATTGTCTACCTTATTATAATTTGTTTTTGAGACATAGTACAATCACTATTTTTGTGCTAATATTTGTTTGTAAAGGATTTCATATCCAGGATTTGAATCACAAATCTCTCTTATTATATAATTTTTACATTATGGACAAAAATTAATATTGTAGTTTATAATAAAAGGAACTGAATGTAGTCTATGACTAAGCAAATTTCAAGCATTTATTGTTATTACAAAAAATAAAAGAATATATATATATATATATATTATTATTATGAATACAATGAATTTTAAGTCGAAGGATATAAATTGTATGAATGTATGGGTGTTAAAATTAGATTTTGATCTTTTAAAATCTGATTCTTATAAAGTATAACAACTCAAAAAATAAAATAAAATAAAATAGTCTTAAAACTTTAAGCTTTGATTTTTGATTTTTTGTTTTTTTCTTCACTTTTTTACACTTTTTATGTAATCAAAATTTCCAAATTATCTGAAGTTTCTAAATCTTTCAGCTTTAATTTTTGAAAAAAGTAAAACCTTTCATATATAAATTAGACTCTTAAAATATGAAATATATTTAGAAATTTAATGTTAAAAATTTAAATTAAAAATTTGTATTTATTTTCATACAATAGTTTATCATTCTAAATCTTAGAATAAATTGTATTATTTTTTCTATGATAAATTTATTTTTAGATGTGTTTAAATAAACATATTTGCTATCATATGTATCTTTAATGGCTTAATATAATAACTATTTAAAACTTTAAGAAGTGACAAGTTTTTTTAATATGATAAATATTAAATATTTTATATCACTAGATATGTCACAATTAAAAATAAATAAAAAGAAAGAATAAAAAATATATAGTTTTATAATATTATATTTATATATATGAATTTATTATAATATTTTTAATATTGATGTTTTTAGAGAAAAATTATATATATATATAGGTATATATATATGTATATATATATAGGTATATATATATGTATATATATATAGGTATATATATATGTATATATATATATGTATATATATATATATGTATATATTAATATCTCTTAATATTTTATAATATATTTTAAAATATAATAATAATATATATTAATAATCTCTTAATATTTTATAATATATTTTAATATTTTAAAATAATTTATACCAATAATATCAAAAATATCTAATTTCAGATTTAAAAGTTTGTTATATATATATATAACTTTTTAAATATCTGTTAAAATTTTAAATATATATATATATATATATATATATATATAGTTTTAATCTATTTTTATGATTATATTTTCTATATAAAAATATAAAGTTAATGAATCTTTAATTTTTTATCTAAAAATACTATATCATGGCTTATAATAACGTTATTAAAAACAAAAAATAAAGCTATCTTGTGTATTTTTGAAGACTTGTAAAACTCTATATAATTTATATTGATAATTAAATTGTTTTATATAATTTTAAATAAAATACTAAAAATAAAATAGTAAGATTTATATATATATATATATATATATATATATATATATATATATATATATATACATATACATATAAATTCAAATAGACCTACATTATTTTAAAATATATACTTTTATTTAAATATATATATATATATATATATATATATATTTGTGTGTGTAAAAGTAGTGATTAAAAATAATTCATGTGTATGTGCAAAAAAATATACTTGATTGTTTTCATTATTACTACTTTTATAATCTTATGTATTTGTAATCTCTTTTTTCTTCATATGTCTAAATAAATGAAGCAATTGAAAAATCATATAGCAAAATTAAAATTTATTTCTATAATATAAAACATTTGCATTAATTTTTTATTATAATATTTGATTTTTTTGCTTGACCTACAAGTTTTGAAATACCAATAATCTTTTACTAATATTCATTTGGTTTTAAAAAGCCTGCTATTATTAAAATTACATGTATTGTGATTTTCATCTACTACTATTAAAATTTTCAGATATGCCTGATTATTGGCACATATTACTTACATTACACTTAAAAAACATTAAGATGACTTTAATCATACATAAAAACATCATTTCATTAATTTAGGAGATTCTTAAATAGATCCAAGTTTTTATTGAATCAACCTACCTATGATAAAGAATATAGTAATCATGATGAATGTAATTGGTTTTCATTGGTTTTAGATCTAATAGTAGAAAAATGAATTTGGATGTCATTTATTTTTTTCATAATTGTTGGAATAGATGGATCAATTTAATAAAAGCTAAGGTCTATTTAGTATTTTCTTTAATTTAATGCCATAATTTGTTAAAAACTTGGTATACCAACTTTGTATACATTAATGCACATAAGTTTTAATGTCAAAATTAGAAAATATTACAAATCTCAATTAAGTTAAAAAAACATAAAAAAATAAAATCATATATATCTCTGAAATATGTCAAAATATCAAGAATATCCATGTATTCTTGATAATAGCAAATCTACCTCTCATTTTTGTAGTAATATAAAATCTATTCTTCAATCTTATAAGATATCACAACTATTTTTTTGAAAGTGTAATTAGAACCCAACCTTTATATCCCAAAATATTGATAAGCTCTCTTTGACACTTTTTTAAGTACAAAAAAGACCTAACCTCTATATTGCAAAAAAATTGATGTGGTTGTCTTGGCATATTGTATAGATGCTTGTTGTAAAATTGCTTTAAAAAAAAGTTTGATGGTTCTTATTAAGGGGATAGTTATGTTTCTATGCTCTCTTAGTCTTTTAGTTGAATTAGGTGCAGCCTCATAAAGGTTAACAATTGAAACAATTGGTGGCACCATACTTATAAGTAGGATTAATTCTTGAAGGAGCTTACCCAAAGAAAATGTGACTTATCATTTGGATTTTATATTCTAAAAGAAGTCTCTATGGATCAAAAAACTTTGTAACAAGGGAGCAAAAGCATCAACTTGCTATATTGCAGCTATAGTAGGTGTGGAGTTGAGAATGGCTAAATATTTGAAGGAAATAGAGCTGTTTTATCTTCATAATGTGTCTACATCAAATTTATATTTGATTTCCTTCTGCATTAACTTGCATAAAATTAGATTGAAGCATGACATTGTCCAAGAAGGCTTTGAGTAGCAATAAACTTTGGACAATAGTATTATCTATTTGTTCATTTACAATCCTCACAAGTGCAAAGACATCTATATTATAAAAGATTTTGAAGTATACAAGCAACTATTGCTACTACATTGATGGATACTTTTTATCAAGGTATTTTTTTTTATAGGCTACTTAGATACTTATATAGAAGATATGATGATTGCAAAATATAAAATAAGAAATTTAAATGCTTCAACAAGGTCTATTTGCTTTGATTATATATCAATCTACGTAGTTGAAATTCTTAACAATGATAGCCTTCCAGGGATTCAAATTGCTTCATACCTCTTTGAGGCCATGGTTAAAAATTCAATCCAAAAAGGAAGGCACATAGGTGTGTATATTGGCTTCAATGTTGGAATTGTGGTTTTTATCTTGATAATTCTTTGCTAGTTAATCTTCTTTATTAAATAGTATTACAAAGAAATTGCCATTAATTATGAATTTATGAGTCAAAAAAATAATATGTTGCAATTCAATGGCATAATTCCAATGTGGTTAAATGGATCAATATCAGATCCACTAATCAAAATTTCTCACATGATTGTCTTTTAGGTGAATGTAGCTATAGGAATGTATACAAAGCCACGTTCAAAGCTAATCACATTGTGATTGTGAAACAATTCAAGAACTACATGCTCAATGGAAATTTTTGATTTTTGAACAAAATAAAGGTACTAATCAAATTGAAGCATATGAGTCTTATCAATCTCTAAGGCTATTGTATTGCAAGCAACAAAGGTCGGGCTCCAATTGCACTTAAAAAAGTGTGCAGATGATCCTCTAATTTCTCCATGGCAAGCAAGTTAGGCCCCAATTGCTCTTAAAAAAGAATAGTTGTGATACCTTATCATGTTAAAGGGTAGATTTGATATTCTTACAAAAGTGGGATAGATTTGCTATTATCAAGAATATATGGATATTCTTATAAAAAATACATGGGTATTCTTGATATTTCAACATATTTCAAGGGTATACGTGATATTTTTTCAAAAACGTACAAAATTGTCATCTTAAAACTCAAACTAATCGGTGTCCCAATTTACAATTATACCCTATTTTGCTGAGCTGGACACTACCAACGTGGCACATCACCACCACCAATGAACGAGTCCCCAACTTGGAATATCGGTAAACAGTGGGAAGCAGGCTCCGAACCGAGTGGTTCGTGCAAGGCCAGGCAGAGGACGTGGTAGGTTCGTAGGGAGTCATGAGCCGTGAACCCGTTCCCATGCACCGGGCACGTGCTCCACTTTCTCCGCCGCCCCTCAAATTCACACCTCGATCCAGCCACTCACAAGCCCATTCCATATCCCAAGAAAGACCTCGAGATCTGGATTGGGTCCCAATACCTCGTGGACAACTGGCCCGCCAGGCCCCGTCCGACCCGACCAGGGACGAGAGCGTGCGACCGCTGGACGGCATCAGGCAGGGCTATTCAAACAGAGGGGGTTCAACAAGCAAGTAAGGCTTTCAAGTTCGGCGTCGAGGAGTAGCCAGTTGTTGCCGCTCTTTATTTCTCCTGTTGGCGGGGTGCGCGGGGGATAGATAGCTTGATTCTGTGCCGAGCTGAGCTGGTTTTGTTGCCTGCTTACCAGATCCGTCAAAAGCTTGTTGTCGTCCCGGCGGGGTTTCTGCCGCTATGGGGCTCACGTTCACTAAGCTGTTCTCCAAGTTGTTTTCGAAACGGGAAATGCGTATTCTGATGGTGGGTCTCGACGCAGCTGGTAAGACCACGATTTTGTACAAGCTGAAGCTGGGTGAGATCGTCACCACCATCCCGACCATCGGTATGTTTTCTTTATTTTTATTTTTTTATTTTATGTTTGTTTGTTTGTTTGTTTGTTTGTGTGGTGTTTCTTCTGGCGGAGTTTCGGGAGCTGAGTAGGTTTTTGAAGTGAAGGGTTGGTGTTGGGTCTTCGTGAGGGAACATGATTCGGCGTGAATCGCAGAGCCGCATCATCGGGTGGTGTGGTTGAAATGATTTGAAGAGTTGATCCCGATTTGAGTCGTTGTGAGAGCTGTTGTTTGTGCCTTATTAGGGGTTTCTTGATGTTGTGGTTTATGGTCTTCTCGACGCTGCTGTGGTCGTTTTTGGTTGATTCTTTGTCTTGTTAATCGAGTTTAGATTCAGAGTGTGGCCAGCTGTGCGGGAAGCCAGTGCGGTGGTCAACAGATCTGATCTTATGTGTTGCACCTTTTAGGCGATCTTAGCCTTTCTCCCATTTGCCCTTTCGACATGGGATGAGCTTCGGCGTTCTTGTAGTTTGCTTGGACATAGGTAGTGGTTATTTGCTGGTCTTATTTGATTGAAATAGATGGATCCCGCCTTCGACGTGTTCCACAGCATAATTCAATTGTGCACTTTTCATCCTGTGGCGATTTAGGTGTTTGATTCAAGTTGAACGCCTTTTTCCAAATTTTCTTTTTTGAGATGAATTACTCGTGCCAACAGTCTCTTGAGATGGGCTTGATGAGAACAACGTTGTGTGCATGTGTGATACGCAGGGTTTAATGTGGAGACTGTAGAATACAAGAACATCAGTTTTACCGTTTGGGACGTCGGAGGTCAGGACAAGGTACGTGCACATGGTAGTTTTTTTTCTGGTATAAGCACCGATCGATTCAGGATAGTGTCATCCAAGTCGAGAAGATTGTTGAATTTGTATTCTGACCTGCGGAGGCTTGGCCCGCTTGTTTGGTTGTGTGACAGATCCGACCATTGTGGAGACACTACTTCCAGAATACTCAGGGGTTGATTTTTGTGGTGGACAGTAATGATAGAGATCGTGTTGTAGAAGCACGGGACGAGCTGCATCGCATGTTGAATGAGGTATTTTCTTTAAATCACGGCCTTGAACTTTTCGAATGACAGCTTCTATAATAAGTTGCTTTAGCTCATGAAAAGTAATCGTGAGGATTCCGCAGTGATTGGTTTTTCTTTGGTTTGCAGGACGAGCTGCGTGATGCGGTACTGCTGGTGTTTGCCAACAAGCAAGATCTCCCAGATGCCATGAACGCTGCTGAGATAACTGATAAGCTTGGGCTCCACTCACTGCGCCAGCGCCATTGGTAAGTGTCTGTCTAAGGCATTTGCAAATTTTCCATTGCAACATTGCTTATATTGTTTTGGAGTTTATTTGTGGAGCGGACACGAGCATGACTAGCATTAAGCCGGTGTTTGATCAGGTATATCCAGAGCACATGCGCAACTTCCGGAGAGGGTTTGTACGAGGGATTGGATTGGCTTTCAAGCAACATAACTAACAAGGTCCTGCCTTCACACTGAGTAGCCCTGGACCTCATTTAAAGTCGTAGGACTAGCTGAATGCACTGAGATGATTGTAGAGCCTTGGACTTCGTTATCGTTGGTTTTCTGCATTTAGCTGACCTTGACTTGGATTGTTTTTGCAGTCTTGATCGGTTGAACGTGTGTATACGGCAATATATGGAGCTTTGTGGACCTCAATGACACTCCATTTACTTGAGGTTTAGAGGGTGTGGCGCGCCCGCATTGTAGACTTGGTTAGGTGTTGTAGGTTAGGACTTACTATTTTTGAATGACGCTGTCCCTAGTGCTTAGGTGAGCGCAGTGCCTGAGGCATGTGTAAGCTAAAATGCTATTTAGGTCCTTGATGGATCTATCTACCTTTCATTTATGTGTTCGGATGCATGAGAATGACCGACCTGGATACATGTTTTTAGTTTGAGAATGTGTCATTAATTGTGTTTTGGGATTGTATGCGTGGATCCTGTTGCATTGTGGTGCCCTGGTCATGCGTTGATGTTTTCAGGTTATGTTTGAGTCTTGTGATGCATTGACACTGTTGCCTCGGAAATTTTTTTGTGGCATGCAAATGACATTACTCAGCCTTTTTGAGTCAGGGCCACTTCATATCAAGCTAGTTTGTTTACGAAGGGGAAATCCAGTTACTGGTGGAGATCTTGGGGGCTGTAGCGAGGAGTTTTTTTTTTGTTTTTTGAAACAAATGAAGAGATACTTCATTGCCTTGTGTACCCGTAGAGTACAACCAACCTAGCCGCATGCGGCCTGGGTGGAACGGACTGACTCGATTGACCTTACTATTCATAATACTGACGGTAACCCAACTGTAGTGAGGGTCTTCACACTAAGATTCTAAGTTAGTCATCCTTTTGCGATTTGAAGCGATGTTTCATTTACAAATTTGAATGTGGAACAGAGAGCTGACAAGTTACAAAGGTGAACTAACGTCTCGCCAACTAGTCTTGTGTAGTTGCTTGTTATCATCAAGCTTGAAGTTTGCACTGGGCCTTTAATAAGCTTGACTTTGTCACCTCGTGTGAAGTGTTGTTAGACTTTGTGCCAGGTCTGCTTGGCCATGTGCTGTATTCAAGTGACTCTGCATGTCTGATGGTGCGTTAGCCAATAAATTATGCCAGAGCTTGAGGTATGGGTTTTTACTACAATTCCTTCGTTTGCTTGTTAGAACTGGAGTGCACTGAATGACTTATCAAGTTATTTGTTATTTTAAGAACGAAATTAACTGCTGAAGTAGCATTTTTACTATCAGATCCAACTCACATTGAAGGATCTCATCTGAGTCGTAGGCAATTATCTTGATGTCCAAGTGACCACCATTTTAATCCTACAGTGATATGGAAAATATTCATGATGAATTGCTCATCACCGAATTTATCCGAATGAAGCTTCTTATGTTAAAATGACACCTTCATCATTTCAATGTATCACAGTATTTCCATGAAATAGCGTACAAGAGTAAGTGTCCGATACGTCAGTCTGACTCAGATTTCGAATAAATCAGAAAGACCTTCGTCGCGGAGTGTTAATTTGTTGGAGGTGCTATTCTTGTGCTGGAGGTACTAATATTCTCTTAGCGATGGTTTGTCAGTGATGTCAGTGCATACCATTACAGCAGTCGATGCTCATGAGGCTGCGTTGTTTGGATCAAGGAGATGGAATTGGGATAAGCAATGTGGGTTGAGAGAGGAGGGAAAGCCGATTCCGCAATTGGCGAGTTTGGGAGTTGGGTGGAAGAGATTTTGGCGAGATGGATCATCAAGGAGTAGCAGTAAACATTCTGGTATTCGTTTTCGGGCTTTTGGTGGCAAGCGAAGTGCCTTCTTTGGAACGATTGACTTCAATGGTAGATGCGAACGGTGATTGGCATGTGGGTGCAAGGGGTGAAAGTGGATACTATTTGTGGAGGATGGAGGGAAGAAGAAGGAAAAGGATGATGTGAAAATCTGGCCAATGCCTGTCGAAGTCGTGCTCGGCGACGGGAAGCTCTCGCTGGAAAGAAACACCATAATTGATGTCGCAGACAACGCATCTGTGCCGGACACGCTTGCAAATGCCTTCGCACGATACTATGATGTCATCTTCACGCACCACACACAGCAGTCGAGGTCTTCGTTCCCTGCGCTTACGAAGCTCGTCGTCACCCTTGATTCGCGAGATGAAGAGGTAGCCATTTCGTCGAAATTTAGCACACTGTCTGGCGGCATTTCGTTTAGAACTTGCGACCCATGAACCTTGACGCAATCGTGTTATTTATAAAAGCATGGGGTTCATAAAATCAATTATATAAGCGAAATTATTTTAGTTTCTTTCACTCTCATTTAGACCTATGCTCATGTTTTTGTATTTCGGCGTTGGGTACACAGCTGCAATACGGAGTGGACGAGTCCTATGCGCTGTACATTCCTGATTCATCAGATTTTAATATTGCAAACCTTCGCTGATGGTTTTCATTCTGTTGATATGACTTTTTTTTTTAAAAGCTTAAGTCTGACATCTGCGCAACACTCTGCAGTCAAGTAATATCCTATTACACTCAACCTATAATTTGTTTCTAAAGGTTGTTGCAGACATGGAGAGAGCATTCAAATCCTGTGGATTTGTTGACAATTGGTACATTTTGGCAGGCACCGACTATTTACGGAGCTCTTCGTGGACATGAGGTCTCTTCCTTGCCAACGTCTTTGCGAAGAATTTATAAACTGCAACATTCGTCACATTCCCCACTTGAATATAAATTTGTTCCCGGTCAGCATGCTGGAAATTGATTTGTACTTTTTTAGGTCTTCGTTCGGCAGAGTTACGATTGATTGCAGTTCTTGTTTTTGACGAACATATACTCTTAGATAAGCTAACTATACAACTGTATGGGTTGATTGATGTGCAGACTTTTAATCAGCTGACATCGTTCAATTTCAAATCGAAATCAATACACATACTGAAGACTCATGCCATTAACATTCCCATACCGTGGACATACAAATGCATACAAATGCGTCTCTGTTTCATTTTGAGTCTTCATTATAATATAAGTTGTGTGGTGTTGGATAGTTTTCTTGCAAGTTTTCATGAAGCTATCAGTATCGTAGATTGGTAGAGAATACTATGTTTGTGTTGTGAATACAGCTCCATCTTAATTGTTGATCATCACACGATGGAATATTTTAAACCTGATTAATCAAATTTCGTTAAAAGATTACTGACTCGTTATGTCATTTGACTTTACTGCTGTGTGCTTGGCAGGGGTGTGGGTTACCCACTTCTCTGTTTCATGGTTCACAGTTGAAACAGTTGTCCACAATTGATACTATTACTTACCCTTTATTTTCCTTGATGTCCTTCTCCCTGCTGCTGTTGGACATCTTGTAGATGGTCATTCTCTTAAGATGCCATTATCAGCTATGTATCAACAGAAGTGGTTACAGGTCTTGCTGGATTTGGAGAGTCCATCCTCCTTGCTTCCATTATAAAAGGTGCAATTTTAGTACGATGGGTTGTCAGCGCAGACGTCAGCCTCCTGTACGCGAGTTCCACCCACCAGCCGAAAATCTTTCAAAAATTCGTTGTGGAATTTAATGTACTGCGGAATATGTGACCAGGAAAAGACTTTCTTGCTAAAATAATCATTTTCTTTCATGAACTGTAAACTTGGAAATCAGGTTACAGGGTGGAACGTGTGCCTAAGCCGTGAAAAAGGGGTTCAGGTGCATACAAAGAGATCAAGGGACATGGTACTTGGACCATTTGGACGCCACCTGAGACAAATTCTACGATACTGCACCTTCCACAGATATAACAGACATTGATGGGCAGAATCTTATGATCGGAGGGGAGGTATGCATGTGGGTAGAAACAGTTGACGGATCAGATACCTTGCAAACTAGATGGCCCTGCGCTGCTGCAGCTGCAGGTACAAATGACCTTCGCAAAGAGTTTGTAAGCAGTGTGAATCAGGTACTCGTAACTTGCGTTAGGAGGATGTGCATCGTCTTTCCTCTTCACCCTCTATTGTTATCAAAATCCTCAGCGCTGTCCACGAAGAAATCAGAAGAAAATTATTATTACCGGCACAGTGCCTTGTAGATGTTCTAAAGTAGGACCTCTTGTTTTATGATGTTCAGAGCGTCTATGGAGTGCGCTTAATTTCACGAAGCAAGGCCACATCCAAGCTCTGAAAAGATTTCAAGATTTCCGGTATCTGTTGAACAGACGTGGAGTTGCAGCCGCGCCTGTACTCTACGGTAAGCATTCTGCTGTTGGTCGAGCATGATCCAGGTTCCTGTTACAAACAGTAAGAATATCCAAGTACCAATGATATATCCTAGATTAGCCGATAAATCCGTTCATCTAAGTCAGTAGAAGAGATTGTATGCTACAATCAAATCTACATCATCATTATAATTGTGTTTATTTGGAAAGGCAGGAATTTTAATTGATAGTATATAGTTGGTATTGAAAGAATAGCGAAAAGTAAAATGGATCAAAGGACGTAAACACATAACTGATTGATTCAGTGCACCTAGGCATGATCACTTGGAAGAACTTTCTTGAACATTCTGAGAAAGAGTAGCTAAACAAGGTGGTACATTACCCTTCAGTTCACTGCAAGATGTGTAATGAATTTTGTGATTGAGATAAAATTATTGATAGGATAAAGAAAAATTTCATCCGACAGATAGTTGCAAAAAACTATGATGCAAATCCAAAGCCATGGGTGTAAAATGTGCTAATTGGTTAACTTGCTTACTGAATTCATCTTGTTTACTAAAGAACACACAGAGACGAAATCATTCTAACGACGCCTATTTCACGCTACACCACCTTAACAGATCTACTATACGTATAATACACCTTTTCCCCTTTCAGCTAATGAAACCTCACTTGGTGTACAAACCTTCACATATCGATATCTCCATGCGCGTAACCAATCAAGACTGCAAAAGCAATTCACAGTCAAGTCAGGTATATCCAACGAAATATCATCAACTAGGTGCGGAAATGGAAAATCGAGACATTCAACTGAACCCCAACTTGAGAGAGTTCACGGTTCCTGTGCGAAGGGCACCTTGTTAGCAATATTACTTGAGAGCCAATCCAGACCCTCGTATAGCCCCTCTCCAGACGTCGCACACGTGCTCTGGATGTACCTGATTACATTGAAAGCAAAAAATACCATCAGGATGGGACACGCCTGCTCTTTAATGCAGTTATGAAATCACTATCGATTTAAAAGTGCTCCGTAACTCTGAACAATACGCTTACCAATGGCGCTGGCGCAGCGAGTGAAGTCCCAGCTTGTCGGTGATCTCAGCAGCATTCATGGCGTTTGGAAGATCCTGTTTGTTGGCAAACACAAGCAGGACTGCATCACGCAGCTCGTCCTGTGAATCATCAAAGGATTTAGTAACCAGTTAGAATAGAAAATACAACTTTCCAAGAAATTATTCCGACTTGACCACACTCTCGGCTATTTGAATGAGCCTCTCTACAGAAAATCAATTCGATCAGTCCACAGGGCAACCTCAAATACCTCGTTTAGCATACGAAGAAGCTCATCCCTAGCTTCCACAACTCGATCTCTGTCGTTACTGTCCACGACGAAGATCAACCCCTGAGTGTTCTGGAAGTAATGCCTCCACAATGGCCGGATCTGTCCACCACGGGAGATCCAAATTAGACCATCATTGCAGTGTTCATCCATTACGGCATTTCCCACTCATCCAAACAAAAATGCTTCCATAGTCTCAACCCTAATGTCGCTTCAATCACATCATTAAATGTATAAGTACAAAGCGCTAGTAATCTCACACACTTACCTTGTCCTGACCTCCGACATCCCACACGGTAAAACTAATGTTCTTATATTCCACGGTCTCCACGTTGAAACCTGTTTCACCCAACATGCACAGGGAAAACATCAGCTTCAAACATCTAGCATTAGACGATAACCACAGAAAATTCATGCTGAGAAGAATATCTGAAGGGAGACAAACCACCCCGCTTCCCAGAAAACCGCTACTGCCGTCAAAGCCGTAAACATTTTAATGTGGAAAGTCCATACTGTGGAGTTGCGATCTGGACGGGAAGTAATGTCCAGGAATTTCCGACTAAAAAATAGCCTTACGAACGGATTTTACATACGCGACGTGAATGCAGACGATAGTCCTGTATTTAAGGACTTAACGGCACACAGAATAGATCCGAGAAAACGTGCAACACACATTACCAGATCTGATCTTTGCAGTACTCGCTTCCTGTCATAACCGGTGAACCTCGCCATTTCCTCTCAATCTGGCGATGATACTACACAACCACACGAGCACCTAGAAAAGATACTCCGTGGCCAAGACATAACCATGGAGTATAACAGCTCTATTCAAAGCATCTCCCTCGACCGAAGTCAGAACAGCATTTCATGCCACAGTAAAGTGCGGCCCACGTCGGCCAAAACAGAACCCAAACCACTTCACGGACTATTAGCAACCATAGCTTCAATCCAATCTACCACTGACCCTCCGCTGGAGAAATCACCCAAGCAGTGAAAAGAGCACATACCGATGGTAGGAATGGTGGTGACGATCTCGCCCAACTTCAGCTTGTACAGAATAGTCGTCTTACCAGCAGCGTCAAGACCCACCATTAAAATGCGCATCTCCTGCTTGGAGAACAGTCGCGTGAACAGCTTCGTAAACGTGAGCCCCATATTGAAAGCGCCCCTCTGGGGGAAGGGGAGGGGGACAGCAACCAGCTACGACAACGACGAGGACGGATCTAATGACAAGAGACGGTTCTTCAGTTTGAGAGGAGGAATGAAGTGGAAGCGAATGCTTAGCAATGGAGGGAGGGAGGCGGAGTAATGAGAGAGATCTGCGACGGACCGGCTTTGCTGTCGACAGCTCCGCATCTGCACCTCGTCTCCATGGCGCGGCTTCGAGAGCGCCGGTCGTCGGCCCGGTTCTCGGACCCAATCCTGAAACAGACAGAATCCGTCATTGAGATGTGACTGGAGGCTGCCAGTGGTGAGATCCAAGTGCGGAGACGGGCCTCAAGTGTGTGGTGGTTCGAGGCATCGTTATGACTCCTCCCCCGCCAGCCGACTTCTGGTCGCTACCATCTCTCTCGCATGGGATTCGGTATCGACGGTTTGCTGTAGAATTCCTAGAAGTTGCTACGTGGTTGTTTTTGTTTTATTGCATACAAAAAAGGAATAAAGAAACAGCACTCTAAGGCAATAAATGACCATCATTGCGAGACATTGGTAGATGTGTCACATCTTTTTGGTATACGAACGTTGTTTGTGTTGTTGAATCCGTTTCCTGATGCAAGAATAAAAGAAATGGGAGTGAGTTCAGGATGATTAGAGGTTTTTTGTTGTGACAGTTGAATTTATTGCGTTGTGATTCATTGCTTACCTGTTTTATTGTGATAGATTGAATATACCGTGATGAGCCTTAACGTACCAGGGATGTTGGATGTTTGTGTCAATATTGATGTGTGCACCATGAAGAGATGTGATACTCTGCAGGGGATGGTATCAGAGACTAGTGTCGAGGTAACTTTCAGTAAGTAGTCTACAGTGATGAGAAAGTTTGAAGTTATCAGCAAATAGTGTTGCCTGAATGTACGCCGTTGATTTATATAAGATTGGAAGTACGTGAAGGCAACATATTCGGGTGCGAGACGGTTGGCTCAATGAAAGAATTCCATAAAATAGTGTCCAGAATTGTTAGTGAATCAATGCGTAGCACGGTCGTAAGATTCAACCAGTATCTTCATCAACTATCTATTCATAAAGGTTCTTTAGCAGGCTACGAGGCCCATGAAAAGATTCCAAGAGTCTATATTTGCATGTGGAGAGTTACAGAACTCACAATGAATGGCCCTAATGGACATAGTAATGCAATCAATAATGAGAAACGTATACAAGACATGCAGATTTCATTAAGACAGCGTTCTGGTCTTCTACAGCACTGAAAAAACATAGTGGCAACCTATGTGCACGTAGATAATTGTAGTAAAGTGACGCCAACTTTGCGCAGGTTGCATAGAAGCTTTTGGATGGGAAAAGGCAGGACTCGCACCAACCGCAATTATGCCTGCCATTAGTCAACAAAAACCTGTCAGGTACTTCGTGAGACGGACGCAGTGTGATTTAAGGTAGAATCCAAAACATCCGATTACAACAACATTCTCGACAGGGCAGAAGGTTGTACAAAAGAAGGAATGAAAGGTACCTTATTAGCGATATTGCTGGACAGCCAGTCAAGACCTTCATAGAGACCCTCTCCAGAAGTCGCACAGGTGCTCTGAATATACCTGGACAGAAGAACAAATAACAAAACGAACAATTCATTCAACAACGAACGAGTGGAGAATCACAATGACAAATTACAAGAGAAACCATTTCCAGTGTATAGAAACATCCAGAGCATAATAACCAAAATGTCAAAAAGTGAGAGTGTTTACCAGTGGCGTTGGCGAAGTGAGTGCAGACCAAGCTTATCGGTAATTTCTGCAGCATTCATTGCGTTCGGTAAATCTTGCTTGTTGGCAAATACAAGAAGGACAGCATCGCGCAGCTCATCCTGTACGCACATCAGTGATCAAAAGTAGTCGTCAGATTTGAAATCTCAGTGTCCGAAACCAATAGCTTCAAATTAAATCTAAAGCTTTAAGAAAAGAGAGATTTTTTTTGATGGGCACCTCATTCAACATCCGATGCAGCTCATCTCTAGCTTCTACGACACGGTCTCTATCATTGCTGTCCACCACAAAAATGAGTCCCTGGGTGTTTTGGAAGTAATGCCTCCACAATGGTCGAATCTGCGACTCAAAAATCATGATTACTACGACAGAAATCACGCATTCTAAATAGGACATTAAACAGTTAAGTGCTTGTAGACTACAGCATGCAAAAATCAACTTGGCCAAAGGCAGGTTTCAGTAGAGCTGGAAAACAGTGAGGGCACCGAAGCTGCCATTTACCTTGTCCTGACCTCCGACATCCCACACGGTGAAACTTATGTTCTTGTATTCAACGGTCTCCACGTTAAAACCTACAACAAATCTACAGCACGTCAAATACTATTGAAGCATGTAAAACAATGGCGCAGTGTTTTCATCCATCAGTCAGTTTCTTTCTTGACAAGGATTCCCACGACGTCCGATGGACACGTGGTTTAATCTTACACGCAAGAAGGCAAGAGCTAGAATATACACTCTGATCACTCTATTCCCAATTATCGAGTGTGGAAAAGTTTCCTCCATTATTACACTTGCGATTTGCACAAGCAAGCAACACAACTCAGTACCATAGGTGTCGAGATTATATATTACATTAAAACGGGGTCTTGCTACAGTCCATGATATGGACTTCACTTCTTCAGACTTCTAATCAATTAGAAACATCGCAGATATATGTAAAACAATACGGATTGTTAAACTAGGTATAAAGCAATGAGCGTAAGTAGAATCTCAACATCAATTTCCATGAGCAGGTGCTAACGTCTCCAGGAAGACTTAATGAGGATACCAGAAAATTGAAATGTTCAAATCACAATTGCAGAAGTAGATTATAATAAGGAACCGGGAAAAAAGAAAAGAAATCCTCTGAAAAGCACACGTGTAAGGACAATAAGTGGCAAAAGAGTCACGTGAACTAAATCAAGGCCAACCAATATGAGGATCAACCTTTCACGATGGTCACGTTCGATCAGAGCCAGCCCGTAATAAATACAAATGCAAAAACAGCAGGAGAGAGAGAAAGAGAGAAGAATAAAATTAAAAAAAGAAAAAAAGAAAAAAAGAAAAAAGAAAAGCACATCACCAATCGTATTCACAATCCCGTCATTGATCACTATTCTCCAGGAACATTCATCCCCGCTAACGACGCGCGCGACAGACGAATACAAGCCGAGAAGAGAGAGAGGGTAGCAAAACGTACCGATGGTGGGAATGGTGGTGACGATCTCGCCGAGTTTGAGCTTGTACAGGATGGTGGTTTTACCAGCTGCGTCGAGACCAACCATCAGAATACGCATCTCCCGCTTGGAGAACAGCTTCTGGAAGAGCTTAGTAAAAGTGAGCCCCATGGTGGCAGCACCCCGCGGCTGCAGTAGACGGGGAGCAAGCGCAAGCTACTGCAGCGAGAAGCAGCGTCAAACCAAAACACTGAATATAATAAATAGATAGAAAAACGACTGCACTACAACAGCAGCTCTAACCCTGGGGCTCAATAGGAGGGCGATGCACACGAAGAGAGAGCAACTATAGCAGCACACACACTCCTACGCAGAAAAAATAAAGGACGGACTCGAAGCTTGTCTACAAGACTTGAACGACCTTCCCCTCCGAGGGCTGCCCGCCCATTCCCGGCCCAATCCTGGGTCCCGATCCATCACACCTCGAATGATACCCCGTTTTGGGACCCAATCGAGGTGGCGATATTGGCCGCGACTTCACTGCGGACGCGTTCCGCCAATTTGTTTTTTAGAATAGTTTTTTGTGAGTTCACTCTTTGAACTGAGATCTTCATCACTTTCGAGACCGATTCATTGGATTCCTGCATCTAATAAGTTCTTCAGCGAAATTGGCATAAGGAGATGTGGTCTCTAGATCGCAAAGTGGTGACAGGATGTGAGGATTCGCACTTTCGATTGATTGTTCCTAGAGTTGCTTGAGTTGTAAGCGAAGTCCGCCTGTAGAATCTCGACACGAGTGCGACCCCTACTGCGGCATTCCAACGCTGACATGTTCAGCTTCAGGGAAGACGGGATCGTTTGTCTTGCTGCGTCTGGGCTTAATTTCCACGCGGTCCAATTTTAGGTAGTCTATCATTCTCACTGTCTGGTGACGATTTCGTGGGCGTCGCGTCTCGGGGTTTAAACAAATCCCTACCCTTTCCTACCACGTAGCAAAGAAAAACAATTATTAAAAAATCCTAATCTCTGGCACGCTCGTCGTGCCGCAGTTTGGTCACCACCACACTCACCATTTCCCAGATCTTGGGCAAAGCGTGTGTCACTTCAAATAGTTGTATATAGACTTTTCACTGGTGCTGTCGATGGGGAGAACAGTGGTCTTCATTCTCACTCTAAATTCCTCCTCAGGCGTGATAACTCGCAAGCTTGTGGATCGATTCACGTTTTTTTGGTTTCGTCCACAAGAGAAACAATAGCGCCACCAGTTCGGAGAAGTTTCCCACACGGGGACATCCAGCCTCATAAATGCTAAACTTATCAAACAATCGATATTATTCTTCCACCACAATTATTATGTGATGTCAGTACCTTTTTTCTTCAGTTGCTGCCCAGTAGCTGGTTGGCTACCGCACATCGAGGTCCCAAGCTATCGTCCACGTCCACATCAACGTGACGGAGTCATTATTGAGGAGGCCCTTCTAGTGATGCAGCTCGCCGAGGTGAATCAAGAGGAGGATGTTGATACCTGGCCTCGCCCATATCATTGTACCCAGGCAAGGCCCATGCGATCCACTCGTCCCCTACTCTTGTTCATATGAGTCTCATTCTCATTGCTCTTGCGTCTACTTTTGAACACTGACAAATGCGTTGTGGCAAGTCTTTGGTCTGTCTTCTCAAAACGAGTTCTTGACCAATCAAGCCACCCATTTTATTCTTATTATTATTATTATTATTATTATTTATAAATTCCTTACACACTACATCTGAAGTATCACAAATAATCAGTTTCAAAGTTGAATTTGAGGGAGGAATGACTAGTTTAGGATAGAGGAGACTGAGTACCCACTTTTTTGTCCAGCCGATCTGGAATGGAACGATTAATTCAATCTTTGCCTACTTGATTAATGATGTCCTCATAATCAGGGGTCTTATGAACAACAAACCTGGGTATAAACAGAGAATTATTTACAAGGGTTTAGATTGGTCTCCTGAGCCGACAGGATGTGAAAAATAGTGCAATAATAAGATTTCACGTCCCGCCAACCACAAACTGTGAAGGATGCAACGAGACTGTACAATCTAGGACTATCTGCCAAACATCTGCGTTGTATCCGGGGTGGTTCTCTGTTTGGAGATGGACCAAAACACCCAAGATACATTTGCAACACGTTGTGATGAGCAGAAAGTAAAGCATCATTCAACACCATGATCAACCAGAGATTAATGACAACGATAATACGAACGCTTACATTACGGAAAGGTTCTAGAAACCCTGTAATCAATCTCCTCCTCTATCCTAAACATAAAATTCTTTCACAATATTGTACAAGCTACATGCAACCAACCACCAAATATTGGCTCATGTGGATGGGATTCAAGTGTGACCGTCGGGAGGAACGCCTCGAAAGTCGAAGAAGACGAATGGTACAGAAACAGCTCCTCGGCAGCCGCAGCCGCAGCAGCAGCCTGTCACCAACGACCAGTGATTGTGGTCAGCCCCATCCAAAGAAAAGACTTTAGAGCAGCAACAAAACATGTTAATATTCAACGATAGCCACACCATGGTCAATCATGTATTAAAAGCTAATTCACCTCAGTATGGACAAACATGTCCTATTATTAGACGTCATATAGAAATACATGTAACCAATATGAAGATTTAACACTTCCAAGGACAATAGTCAGGATACGACTGTGAATAGCAGCGAATCTTAGTCACCAAACTTTGCAGAGTCAATATAATGGAATATTCCCAACATAAAATGGAACAGGGCAGTGTAAAAAAGAAAGGAGGCTTCATACCTTGTTGCAGAAGGTGGCCGTTGCCAGCTGGAAGCCCACGAGAGTCCGTGGGTGCTGCTGCCTCCACTTCAGCGGGCAGTAGTGGACGTGAAAAGGAGCTCTTCCAATTCCCCATCCATAACTGCGCTTCAAGCTACCCGCTGTCATGTCGAAGAACTATGGTACGACCCAAGCGGGCAGCAATAACCAACAAAAAAAGAGAAACCACAACCAAGAGAATATAACCCAAAATTCAAGGAAAATTTCCGATCCTCGGAAAGTTGCTGCTGCAAGACTGTCACTGTGGAACATCGAACCCAGGCATTTCAAATGCAGTGGCGAATTCCTCGACTTTGGACCTCAGCTCCCGAATTTCGCCATTACTGAAAACCTCGTTCTTTGACTGGGCCTTGAAGTTTCCTTTGTTTAGATTTGCAGCGATTTGCATGGTCTTAAAAAGAAATTCTGCAATAGTGTCAAAGTCTCCTTCGTTGCAGCCACGGGACGTCATAGCTGGGGTTCCAATACGTACACCGCCAGGCTGCCAGGAGCTACTGTCTCCATAAACGGCATTCTTGTTCACTGTGATATGGCATGCTTCACAAACTTCTTCGAGAAGATTACCAGTGATACCAAAAGGGCGAAGGTCCCAAAGTATTAGATGGTTATCAGTTCCATCCGTGACCAGCTTGCACCCTCGCCTCTTCAGGCCTTCTGCAAGAGCTTGAGCGTTCTTCTTCACTTGCTGGATGTACTCCTTGTACTCTTTCGAGCATGCCTGTTTGAGGGACACCGCGAGAGCTGCAATATGGTTGTTGTGCGGACCACCTTGTAAAGTCGGATGAATTGCGAAATTGATATCCCGCTCAAGGTTACCAGGGGCGCCATCCCCTGGCTTGCCACCAGCCTTCAAGTCTTTCCGGAAGAAGACTATGCCGCCCCGAGGTCCACGAAGTGACTTATGAGTGGTGGACGTGACCACATCACAGTAATTAAAAGGGCTGTCACATTCCTGTGCGGCCACAAGTCCGCTTATATGAGCCATGTCACACATTAAGATGGCATGAATTTTATCAGCCACTTGGCGAAAGCGAGAATAATTCCATTCTCGAGGGTAAGAGCTTCCACCACAAATCAGAATCTTGGGTCGATAGAGGAGTGCTATTTCCTCCATTTTCTCGTAATCGATAAGGCCAGTTTCAGGATGCACCTTGAATGGTAAAGTCTGAAAATAAATGGAAGCTGCGGATATCTTCTTTCCGCCCTGCGTCTGATACCCGTGACTAAGGTGACCTCCGGACAGAACGTCCAAGCCCATAATGCGGTCATTCGGTTGCAGAAGTGCGGTGAAAACAGCTAAGTTTGCGGATGAACATGAGTAGGGTTGTACATTTACACCCCACTTCGCAGGATCAAGATGAAAGGCTGATAAAGCCCTTGAACAACAGAGAGACTCGATCTGATCGATGTTTTCGTTCCCCCTGTAATATCTACTCCCAGGTAATCCTTCCGAGTACTTGTTGGTGAGATGACTGCCCAGTGCTTCGAAGACGGCTAGTGAAGTGAAATTCTCTGAAGCAATCAGCTCAATGCCTCTCCATTGTCTATGCTTCTCTCTTTCCATAATGTCCCACAAATCTGGATCCACCTCAGAGAGGGGTTTGTTGCCCCAATCACGTACTCCTCGTCTCCGTTCTTTATGATCGTGGTACTGAAATGGGGTGTGGTTCTTGGCTCCTCTCTGTCCCAAAGAAGATAGCTGGTTTGGCAAAGGCCTAGGAATCCCATTCTGAAGAAGATGATCGGATGCTACTACTGCGTGAAACGCGCCAGAAGACGGGCCCTGCATTAAAGGTTGAGAAGTGCGAGGGGAAGTCTGGTAAATTACAGGGGACTGCTGCCCGGAGGAAGGAGAGGGGCTTCGTACTCCTCCCATCATCTGAGTTGAAGGAGCTGAAGGAGTCCGAAACTGACGGCCCAGTAGAGCTCCTGTGGCCTTCCGTTTTACGCGCTGGGAATTATTCGCAGGAGAAAATCCTAATGAACCACCAGTGCCCTGAAGAAGAATCTGAGATCCATCTCTCGTCGTAACTTGCATGACCGTCTCTCCCTGTCCAATGCCAGCAGATCGTCAAAGCAGACAAATATGAAACCCTGAGCGACTTCACTTGTGCAAAACCCAAGGACATCCTCACCTTAAAATTCAATATCGTCTACGTCCTGTAATCCTCAAATGCCAACACGATGATAAAGATGACCTCTACCTAGGTTTTTCTACAATGAAATAATGTCGTAAAGTAAACATAGGATCTATCGACGAAGCCAAGGAGAAAAAAAGGAAGAAGAAATGTCCAGATACAGCACCTAAATTCCAAACACCTTCTGAAAATAAATCAGTAGAATGAATTCTGCAATTCTACCGAATCCTCAAGACTATGCTGTCTAGCTTAAAGATTATTAAAATAGACGTTGTCTTTTCTAGGTTTTCTGCGATGTTGGAATCTTTATCAAGGAATAAGACCAAGATATGTTAAAGCCGCAATCTGCTATACTGAGTTTTGAATATAGTTTTCATTTCAGCCCCTTCACATAGTACAGCACCGCAAAGGGTGATATAAAATCTGCAGAGAATTGAGTGCCGAATGAAATACATGGTGACACAGACAAGTATTCATACCTGGCTAAGATCACTCATGTGACTCCCGCTAGACAAAGTAGGTTGAACGTTGTTGACTTGCTCCATTGTAGAACTCATCTGGAGCTGGTGCTGTGCAGTTTGCTGCATCATTTGCGCCAGTCCCAGCGATAGGCTAGGCTTCATTTCCCCGACGTCCATCTATCTTGCTTTATAGCAGCGGCTTAAAAATTCAGGAGAAAAGAAGACAAGAAAACTAGCTGCGACCAAAAGAAATCCAGCTCTATGCAACGCAGCATGGGAATGATGACGAACACGTCAACGACAACGACAACGACGACAACAGGAACAGCACTTCCCCCATGCTGCAAGACAAAGATACTTCTCTGTCTCAGACACAACTTGCAACCAACCACATATCTGCAAACAATTCACCACTCAATTCCCGCAAACTCCAATTACAATCCACACGCCTACGAATTTTCCGTGCTCTCCTAATACCAACCAGAACTGTTCCGCCTTGCTCTGTCGTATTCCCACCCTGCCATGAAACCAAAACCCTAACCCCCAGGCAGGTTCCTGTTTACGATCTAACAGCCATTCGATTGCCCGGAGGGCGTATCACATGGAAAGGTCGTTCCTGACTCAACGCTCCTGCAATACTTGCTACAGTTTCCACCACTTCAGCCTTGCGGCAGATACATTGCCACAAGTGCACCAGGACAGAAATGTTCACGACAGAATGACTCCTACAATTGCGAAGATCATAGCTATCCAGTCACGACTTCCTGCCACGGAAGCATCTTACTAAATTTGCTAACAATTTCCACGCTTTCTTGCTCAGTATAGGAACCTCCGAGGAGAGAACCCGGAGAAACACCCAGATAAAAGTAGGCCATAGATATTGCCAGGTACTTGGAACCTTCGTCACCTCGGAAACAATTATCCCAAATTTGGTTCCGCGGTACGCAGGATTGATTAGCCTTCAAACACAAACTTCTGCGGAAAAATAGGGTACATTTTAGTTTTGCCCGTCCACGACGAGCTCAGGGGGTGTTTTGCCAATCAATATGTCAGTGACACAACATCCGTGGTAAAAATTAACCCATAACTTGATCTTGGTAGACGAAAACACAAAATATCATTTTGTTCCCTCGAGTGTTTTCTGGGCGATGACATTCATGCATCTTATCATTCTTTTCCTTGCAAATTCGGCACCGAAGCGTGACGGTGCCCAGTCTTGCCGTCATCAGTCGCAAGAGAATTTATGTAGAACTTGGATTGGGAAGGGGAAAAGATGGAGTTCAAAGAAAAGTCTCAACTTAGAAAGAAAATTTCGGGTGGGAAAGAAAAAGGTGGATCTAGTTAGCCCTAATTGGAAGGAGGAGAAGGCTTCAGCGCTAGGACGAGGTCGGAGGATGTTGGAGTCTTGTCTGTGCGTAGTCGACTACTAGGGGTCGCGGAAGCCTCTGTGAGACAATCGGCGTTGAAATGAGTCCAATGTTATGTTATTTGGGAAATTGATGTTGGGAGCAACTGGCGTGCAGTGAGCTGTTATCGAGAAGACTGGAGCAGTAGGAGGATTTGGATTCTCGTCCAACAGGATCAGTAGTAATGGGGGGTCCTGCGTTGCCTCCGAAGGAGAACAACCTCTTCAAGCTCATAGTGGTATGTTGGTTTCTCGAGTTCGTATTCGATATCAGACAAGATTCGATATCAGTGGCAGTGTCGATTTTTTTGCTGCCTGCTTGAGAAATTATTGTCTTGCGACCAGGAATTTTGGTTTTGTTCAACATGGTAGAGATTCTATTCGTCGCGTGTGAAAGAGTGATATATGAAACAAGTTCGTCCGGGAGTTTTCGGTTGGAAGTTGCGGTTGCGAATTTCAAATTGGCAACAGCTGATACGCAAATAGGTCGAATGATTATTGGATTAGTATTGTTACTGCAGTATCGGCAATGGTTTTAGAATTGCAGTCGTGAGTCGTCCGATGGCATTACTATTGAGATTGTTTAAGAGGGAAGATTTTCTTGTTCTGTATTCAATTGCACATTTTTCAGTTCATCGTCGGGTGTGGCAACCTTGGACCCAGTGTACGTTCAAAAATTACTGTTTCAAAATTTAACCTAATTTACATGATATTTTGATCAAGGTGGGAAAGGATTTTTTCGATATCAGCACTTGTAAACTACGGGAGCTGATCCTTTGTTACCAGGAATACACTTTCTCGCTCTCTGTTCAGCCAAATTCCGAGTAGTGTATAGCCTTTCGATGAAATGAAAGAGTCTTACTAGGCATTCCTTTCTTGTCACATTTCTGAGGTCACTCTGGTTCGCTACAAGGCGTTCTCAGGAATTGCATGTCTGCAATGACATGAAAATGACTGTTTGGAAATTTTGTGCGGTGGTCTGAGTTACTCAGCAATTTCTTACAATTCATGTTCATGAGCTTGTGGAGTAGATGTGAAGTCGTCATGCCTGCAGTGAAGATATTAAGTTTTGAATTTGAAAAGATTTTGGGTTCAAGGACTACTGGGTAATGGGATGCGAGGTGATAGCTCATCGCCTCAACAGTGAACTTGTCTCTGACGAAGTCGATCATACACGTCTGCTCCTCACTATTACGGTAGCTGTGGTGGAAATCTCATGTTTGAGGTATTGCTTTATTGTGCAATTCTTGAGATGTTGACCATTGATGTGACGTGTCCAGAAATCATATGAGACGAAGCAGTACAAAAAAGGGTTGAAGGCTTCGGACCAAATACTTCGAAAGTTTCCTGAGCATGGAGGTAATCTGTTCTGTGTTTTGAGAACTTAATATCTGCATTTTAGAGAGTCGCGTACACAAATTGTGCTTAACGTACTTCGTAGCGCATTCTTTGTAATATTTTTGGTCTTGCGATCTGTTTGTTAGGCGTACTTCGTCTTTGGTGAGTGCGAATGCTCACAGTTTCAGTGTGTGATCTTTATAGAAACTTTGGCGATGAAGGGTTTGATTCTCAATTGCATGGATAGGAAAGCAGAGGCTTTTGAGCTTGTCCGTAAAGGTCTGAAGGTATGTACTTGTGATATATGAAAATCTCTATACTGTTTCAAGTGAACCACGTAATCATAAAAGAAAAGAGAAATGCATTTTATTTTGTTTACCCTTAGTCATCTTGTTTCTTTGGAATTGTGTATGTTAATCTCTCTGCTGCTGTGCCTTGTGCAGAACGATCTAAAGAGTCATGTTTGTTGGCATGTCTACGGACTTTTGTACCGTTCTGATCGTGATTACCGGGAGGCCATCAAATGTTATCGATGTGCCCTTCGGATTGATCCAGAGAATATTCAAATCCTCAGAGATTTGTCACTGCTTCAGGTAAGAGGATCTATGCGCGCCGTGTCGTTGCTGTCCTTTCTTATTCTGTAATTTGTTGAGGATCACCCTGTTATGTAGTATACAGCCACGCTCAAGGTGAAAGTCTACTTTAGTGTGCTATATATATGGTTGGGTGGATTGTCACATCCATGATGTGAACATCAAGCTTAATTCTATTCGTGTTCTATGCAGTGGACAAAGAGTAATGTTTATATCATCTATCTGTTCATACAGTTTGTGGCCTTGGTTTTTATGGAGTGGCCTTATGCTATGCACAGGCACAAATGCGGGAGCTAGTCGGGTTTGTTGAAACTAGAAGACAGCTACTTACACTGAAGCCTAGCCATCGCAACAATTGGATCGGCTTCGCTATTGCGCATCATATAAATCATGAGTAATTCTCCTTGATGTGTGCCTGTCTGAATCCATTTAAATATCCACATGAGTGCGTTCGGAACGTTTGGATGTATTCTTGGATTCTTTGTATTTTAGGCATGACTAGCATACCGTCTTATTAACACCTGACATGTTAAGACGAAGTTGAATTAATTAATGTCGTCGTGATTTGTCCTAGGCCTGCGATGGCTGTAAATATATTGGATGCATATGAAGGAACTTTGGAAGAGGATTTTCCTCCTGAAAGTGAGCGGTATGAGCACAGTGAAATGCTCCTTTATAAGGTAATGAGGTTTACGGACGTCCCAGTGGTATAGACGTTACAGTGTTGATGTTGGAAAAACATCCAAGCATTTTAGATGTCTTAGACAGCTTTGCTTTTAATATCCATGATGTCATTTGTTCCACTCCTGTTACTAGTGGCTTATCGATGGACCTCTCATTTCTCTTCCTTTATAAACTTTTAATGTTTTACAAGGGCGAGATAGTTGTCCTTGATTTGTTTACTGTTAATAGTGCGAATTCCACCTGGAAAACAGGCCACTGTATTGGAAGAAGCAGGACAACCAGAGAAGGCATTAGAAGAGCTTGCAAAGAAAGAAGAGAAGATTGTAAGTCAGTTTTCCTGTTAACTGTGAATTCTTTTTAAGATTTTCAGATTTTGGTACATTTCTTTTTACTAAAGCATCTGAAATTTTTGCGATTTGGTTTTGTAGAGATATGACTATTCTGAAGAGGAAAAGTTGACCAAGGGGATCTGCTTATTTTTGTGAACTCTCATTGGATTGACTTGTCGTATGAATTGTTTGAATTAAAGATATGAAAAGCGGTTTCTTGACATGACTGAATCATCATCATATGTCTTCTTAAAACAGGTGGACAAGCTGGGACTTAGGGAACACCGTGCCTCGTTGTATTTGCAAACAAATCATGTAGCTGAAGCTGAGGAAATTTATCGAAAACTCCTTGACGTTAACCCTGACAATTACCTGTAGGTTACCTAGTTGAACTCAAAATTCTACTTCGTTGAATACCAATTTTTACATGGATGCAGCATGTTGAGACGCTACAAAATGGTACCTGGAGAAAGCATCAAATTTTGTATGATCAATTATGTTATATGGCCATTCTTTGTCATGTTACTCTTCTTTCTGAATGCAGCTACTACGAGGGTGTGCAAAAATGTCTTGGATTAGCACCAAATGGAGGAATTTACACCTCCGAGCAGGTGCAGAAGCTAGAGCAAGTGTATAATGACCTTTGCAAAAAATATCCTCGCTCTGCGGCTGCCAAGGTTAGACTCTAAAGCCCTACATATTTAGAACTCTTTCGCCTCAAATTTTTCCATGGAGGACACGGTAATGTTAAACTAGCATCTGATGTCTATCTATAACCTCTTGGTTGTAGATGTGCCTCAACCCTCTACACTGTTGGTAAATAAATTGAAACTTATTTTGTGGCATATTGAGTGTCCAAATTGATACCTCAACACGCACATATGATGCTCATTGATTTGGAATGCAGACTGACTTGAAAAAGAGTTTGGTTTTGAATGCAGCGTATCCCATTGGACTTCTTGGAAGAGGATGCATTCAAAGCAGCATTTGAGCAGTATGTTCGCCCGGTTTTGAAGAAGGTTTTGTTTTTACTTTTACCTCATATTGTTCTGGAGTCACCAGTATATTGAGGAATGCATGAGTACACGAATTTGCTTGATTTCTGATGTCATGATTGTATTGTCTTCTGTATTCCCTTTATGTGGATGCTTGTTGTTATAAACTATCTCGTTTTGCTCCAACTCCAATTCTCTAAATTTATTATCTTTGCCTTAATTTGTAGTAAATTTAATTAAATCCCCTTCCAAACGAATGTACTTAATGTTAGTTTTGAAACTGCTTCCGAGTAAGTCTTGATTCTGATTCTGATTTTATTTCTATTTTCAGGGTGTGCCGTCACTTTTTTCGGACCTTCGCTCATTGTATAGTCATCCTAGAAAGGTACAGGTTTGGCGTACCTCTTTTACTAGTTTGAATAAATCCCGCTAGGATTTTCTGATACTATCTTGCTAATACATGGCTTCTTTTAAGAACGGTTTACCTTTTCTTCTTTTACAGGTTGAAATGATGGAGGAAGTCTTTCTTAAAATCGTGACTTCCCTTGAAACTTCAAAAACTTTTCCTGGCAGGTATTTTGCATAATTTTCTTCTTCTCAAGTTCAGGTTTATGAAGATCGTAACTCACTGGATCACTGAAGCTAAGTTCCATATTGTGTTCCGCGGTATACTGGTCATAGTGTGTCAGATTGTGAGCCAAAACAAAAGTCGATTATGAAATGAGAATCTATTCGAGTTCGCAATTTTTCTTACATTTCGAAATATCCCAGTATTGTTTTTTTTTTGTGTGGGTGTGTGCGCCCTCGTTTTTTTTCGAGGTGGTTGCCCTTTGACGTAGGGCGTGTGCTAGAATTGAGGAAAACAAAAATGACTTTGTTGGAGTTAATTGATTGAGTATCTATGTCTTACAGTAGCGATGTTGAGTCACCGTCAACCTACTTGTGGACTCTTTATCTTCTTGCGCAGGTATGTGAATTTGAAGCTTTTAGATATGGATTAAACCACTGTAGCTTTGCCTAATAGCTTCGTTTTTTTCATTGACATGTTACATTTTCTTTTCTTTTCATGTTGAAACCTGGTGCAGCACTTTGATCAAAGACGGCAATATGAGAAGGCACTTTCCTATATTGATCAAGCAATTGCTCACACACCCACTGTTATCGACTTGTATCTTGTTAAGGTACTCATCTTGTTGTGCATCACTCTTGTTGTCTACAAGTTTATAGTACAGCTTCCACTTGTAGATGTCTTAATCGTGAATAGTTGTCCTTCGAATCTGGACAAAATTTGATGCTGTTGACTCGAGAGTTGCATTCAACACAGTACTCGAGTTGTTCCTTTAAAGTTATTCAGCTCTCACTTGCTGATTCCTGTCGTATTCTATAACTCTGCAATTGCGCTGTCTGGTTCCTTGTTAGATAATGTAGTGCTGGAAGCAATAACTATATCTGCTCTTTCACAGGGAAGAATTAAGAAGCATGCTGGAGATCCTGTGGCCGCTGCAGCTTTAGCTGATGAAGCTCGGACCATGGACCTTGCTGATCGATTTTTGAATAGTGAGTGTGTGAAACGCATGCTGCAAGCAGACCAGGTATTTGTGGTTGACTCTGATGTCTTCACATGTTTGTTTGTTATCTGATTTTATTCTTGTTGTTGGAAAAATTGGATTTTCTGTGGCTTTGGATTTCCACCTTGAACTGCATCTACTACCACTTAACTCTTTCCATCCTTTGTTACGCTAGTTATAATAGAAAACTGAGCCAATTGCAGCTGTCTTTTCACTAGGTCGAACTTGCAGAAAAGACTGCTGTACTCTTTACCAAGGATGGTGATCAGCACAATAACTTATTTGACATGCAGTGTATGTGGTAAGTGGTAACTTTTCTCTTTTGACAGGTAGATGAGATGCTAAGGTCCTGTCATTCTTCTCATGGTTTTAGTCAAGATGTCTCTTTGATCCACCTCGTTTCCTGTAGGTATGAGCTAGCATCTGGTGACAGCCATTTCAGACAAGGTAATATGGGTAAGGCTTTGAAAAAGTACTTGTCGGTGGAGAAACATTACAATGACATGGTTGAAGACCAGTTTGATTTCCACACTTACTGCTTACGCAAAATGACGTTGCGGGCATATATCCGGATGCTGCGCTTCCAGGATCACCTTCATTCTCATCGTTTCTTTTTTAGGGCTGCTACTTCGGCCATCAGGTAACATTTCTAATTTTGAGGCTGAATTAAGTCACATAGGAACATATATTCTAGTTTCTTTTCTAGTTGGTATCCTGGAAATTGTTATTTTCTCTACTTTCTCCCGCTTTTCTCACTTTGGTTTCTTAATTCTGTTTATGGAGTGTAATACCTTCAATGATTTGGGTTTTATTGGGTATTTCATGATTTGTTAATTTCGTTAAATTTGTCTCTTAGGTGCTACATTAAATTGCATGATTCTCCTCCTAAGGCAGTAGCAGAAGAACAGGAAGCAGTCATAGCAGGTTTGCCTGCTGCAGAACGAAAGAAAATGCGCCAGAAACTTCGCAAAGCAGAAGCGAAAGCTAAGAAGGTATGTGACGGTTTTTTTAGTGATGATGAGTGTTTGATGGAGTTACACTTCAGGTTTTCTACCACTGGAATTTAAAAACCGGACAATTGTTTTAAACCTCGGATGCTTACGTATCGAAAACAGCTTTCTTAAGTGCTATCCTGCCTACTTCATTTGATGCGAGCATTAAGGCAGTTCAAATTAGCTTTCATCTGTTTTGTTGATGAGGAAGACTTAGCTTGCAATATGTAGTCACGTTGAGAATAGTTTTGTGTCTTTTAAAAGGAGGCGGAGGAAAAGGCAAAGGAGGAAATTGCTGCTGTCGTGACGAGCAAAGGAGGGAAGAAGGCTACACATGTATCTCGACCTGTGGATACAGATCCCGATGGTGACAAGCTACTGCATGTATGCACATTGTTCTATATTGCTATGTTTGATTGGACAAGGATTATACGTATATATTCTTATAATCTGTATTCACGTTCTGCTCTCAGATTATATGGTTGATGCTTACCGTAGGTGCTCTAAATGCTTCCTGAAAACTGTTATGACGTCGTCTATATCCTTTATCCAGGTTGAGGATCCTTTGAGTGAAGCCCTGAAGTATTTAAGACTTTTGCAAGAACATTCTGCAGATGCTCTTGAAACCCATCTCCTTGCCTTCGAAGTGTACTTCCGCAAAGGCAAGAAACTACTCGCTCTTCAGGTACGCTAGCTGTCTCCCAGCATTGTACGTGTAAGTGCGCAAGATTAATGATAAATCATGGCGCTACATGAGACTTTCTTGTATCGCTTCTTTTAGTATTTTTAAATGCTCCAAACGATCCTTTTCTTGAAATCAAGTGTGGTGTGGGCACTCAGGCCGTGAAGAAGCAGTTGGTATTGGATCCCAGCAGCCCTGATGTTCACCGTTGTTTGGTGGGTGACTTCGGCCATCTTTTATTCTCATCAGATATACGATTGTGATAGTTTATCTTTTTGTGTGTCCCAAGCGTGTATTTGATATAGTGGGAGTACCAGCAAGTATTTTAATTTGTTCCATCACAATGTTTCTTTCTGTTATTAATCATTTTATTCACTATTTCTTAAGGAAACCCGTTCTTGATCTTACTGTTGTGTACTGTCAACTTCAGATTCGCTTGTTTGAATCCTTGGACAAGCAACCGAAACCCGATTCTCATGCTGACGAGATCATCCACAATGTGATTGCTATGGAAAGAGCATCGTTGAAGTAAGAATTCAAGCTGTTTGATGAGTATGCTGCTGAGACACCTGTTGAGTCATATGCGGTAGTTGTCCTCAACTGGTTTGTGATTAGTTTTGGTAATATAATGATTTTGTACTTTTAAACTTCGAAGTATGGCATCCTCAAAAACGCTTTATCTTGGGTTTGAGATGTATCTTCTTATTCTACAGAGAACTCGGCAGCAAATCACTTTTGGATGTCAACAGAGATTTTCTTGAGGCCCATGGTGGTGAGTTCCTGTGGCTTTGAGCATCTTCAGTGTGGAGCTTCTGTGTTGATGTGTTGTTTGTGTTTGCTATCATTTTCAACATTTGGATTCTGCATATGCTTTGTAGTTTTCCTTTGAATTTGATTGTTGAAAATCTTACGGGAAGTTACGGCCCTATTCTTTGGTTGACATATAATTAATTCTTTATGCAGATTCCTTGAAGCATAGAGCTGCTGCAGCAGAAATCAGTCTTCTTCTCAGCCCGGAAGCAAAGTCAGAGGCAATCAAGATTGTTGAAGATTCCTCTGAGGACCATGCTTCTAGGTAAGTATATGAAACGTACAGTGCTGCAGTACTGTCCATGTCATCCTATAGAGCTGTTGTCTTTCTGCAGCTCGAAGGATACGAGTTCTTACGGTGATATGGGTTTGATTCTCACTCATATGTGTTACAGGTGCACAATATTTAGGTGTTTCTCTTGCCTGTATTCTAATCTTGCCATGCTGTGTGGGAGCTTTGAAAAGCAGTGGCGTGCCACCAGCAAAAAGTGGATGGCTTCTCAAGGATTGTGTAGCTGTACATCAGTTGTTGGAGATTTCTTTCAAAGATGCAGCTGCTGCATCAAGTAAGCCAATTCGATACTGTGGTCATATTCTTCTCTTTTTTCAAGCTGTATTTAGTGCTTTGATGCCACAATATTCTTGACTAGTTTGGCATAGTTTAACATCTTTCTTTTTGATTTCAAATGACTCGTATTTCACATTCGCTTCGACGGTTGGTTTCGGTAGATGTCTTCGATATTTTGTTTTCTAACTGATTCCCATGTATTGAACGTTTCCTCATAGTCATTACTGTTCGTAGTTCAGAACGTGTACGAATTGTAATTTTATAGTGTGTGACTTCTTTGTTTGTCCTGTACATTTGGCTTTGCAGGGTGGTCAGCACGTTGTGCGGAATTGTTCCCCTATTCAATATATTTTAAGGGTGCGAAAAGCTCTGCAGTAGTAGGAGTGGCTAACACAATAGGTTTAAATCATTCCGACAAGGTAGAGGTTGAATCTGGTAGAGTAGGGGAGAAAGACCTCTCGGTATCAGTAAATGGTTGCCTTAGGGACCTGGCTTTGAACTAAGAAAAGGTGTTTTGGGTTTTTAATCTTTGGTCTTTTGAGGTTATCTGGTTGCTGTCGACCTTACCCTAGAGAGGAACACAGTTGGGTCCTTTCAGGAGCTCAGATGAGTCTCAGTTTTTGTGGATAACCTGTTACTTGTTTAGAGTCACGAAATGAGTTAGCCTCATGTCTTTTAGTTTTTAATTTGATCGTTTACTTCTGGAATTGTAGTTGAACGAAGCTATAGATAGAAATAGGACAAGGTGTGAGTTCAAGTATTATTGGAAGTTACAGAATCAGGTATCATCTTGTGATGCTTATCGTCAAAGTGGAATTGTTCCGACGGGTGCATGAGACGGATTGCATCCAACGACTAAATTTCTCTTCAGATATTGGTGCAATTCATGGTTGATGGTATGTTCATTTTTCACAAATGTATCAGGAGTGAGCACTTAGTAGTCCAGGACAAACGACTGCTCATTCTTTACAGATGTGATCACATTAATTGTGTGAAAATGGATTGTTCATGATTTGTGAGCAACCTTTCAGAAGGATGTCCGTGAGAGTTTCCTGCACAATCAGTCGAATAACATCGACCAGGTGAGAGGAATCAGGCAATCAGATTAAGATGCAGGCAATTAGATTATTTGTTCTCTTGTTATTCAAGAAGCACTATGGTAAAATGGCCTCATGTGACTCGTACGGTGAAGCATTTTGTGAGCTCCATTACAGGCTTGCATTTGACAACTTGGAGAAATTAGAGTACCAGAAAAGAAAACTTCACTGTTAGACGACGTTTTCAACAGCAGCTATGCTTGACCTGACAAAATGTACATATTAATGCTACCTCGCAACTAATAGTGGAAACACACAATCAGTACCAGTTACACAACCTATGAATTCTATGTAAGTTATTTTGCTTTATCCAGACACCTTTGGATGGGACGCCATTCTGGACGACAAACACCATATACCATGCGGGGGGGACGATTGTGTTCCCAGGAACGGCAGTTACCTGCACAGACCAATTAGTACCTCGCCTCACAGGAGCTGCAGTCGTCAGTTTCACCATCCTCTGGCCTTGAGCATACGAGTGGGTCACAAATGGGGCATTCAACATGTTAACCGCTACTGCGCCCACCCTTCGCCGTACTGTAAAAGTAATGACAAACACTTGCTGATATTTGATGCCTTTCGGGAACTCTCTAATAACTGGTCTCTCAGTGTCGAGTCTGCATATAAACACGACGCTGAGTTAGGGGGAATACAAATGCACTTCGACATCAAGGAATGAAAACGCTTGCAATTTTGATGGCATGCAGAAGAACTGTGCGTTACCCGGCGGCCAGGTACGGTGGAGAAAAGGCCTCCACTCGTAACTCAGTGGGATAGGCTCCACGGTATGTGTAGAATATATATGTGTTGCTACCAGCGACGAGGATCCTTCCGTCCGAGAGCAAGTTGGCTGTGGAGTGATACATGCGAGGAATGGTGGTCTTCGTAGACCTGGAACGTCCTCCGGGCAACCGTGTAGTGGACTGGGCTCAGGACGGGGTTTTTCGCCTTACCCCAGCCTTGATACCCATTCTGCGCACCATTGATGATCAACACATTTCCAGTTGGCAAATTGAGCATGTCACCCATGACTCGCCGGATGGGCATATTCTGCATCGCCCATCTAGGAGCTCTTGCAGTAGCAATAATTCTTCCGCAGCTGGCCGAACCAGGGGCATCCACATTACCGGCCCTCGAAGCACCCGTCGTTGAGCCTCAGCAAATCATGATCTCTGCTTGCCTAAGTTGTTCTGCCACGTTAGCGGCAGCATGTTCTTGCCCTCCAACAAGACTTACCTCAACCGTTGAATCCCATAACTGAGACCCACCTCACTACTCTTCCCTACTTTATGGAGGTAATTTGCAGTCACCTAACAAGAAACTCATTAAGGAAAAGTCAATCGTTTAGGCTTGGCCTTGTATCTGCCTCATACAACAAGCTCCTTAAGGTTACCCTCTATGGAGTCCCCTTGGGCTGGAATCTTTCCAATGCTATTTGTACTCTTGAAAAACTTACACCTTAATTGAATGCTAATGCTTTGAATGTGTTTCAAGTTTCGAAGTCTCTCCCACTTCTTCTCTTCTAGCCAATGTAATAGGTGTTCAAATCCCCTCAAATCTTCTTCATAAGATCTTTTTTCTTGTGTTGCATAAGATTTCCTCTACAACCCATCCCCTCCCACTTGGAGTGAAGGTGTCTTCATATTCAGGTCTTTCATAGAACTCTTTTTGTTGCGAGTTGAAGTCCTCATTTCTTCAATTGCTTCCGCATGGATCTCCTTTATCTATACTCACTTACTTTCTTGTTAAAAGCAATTACCAATCCTTCCACATGTCTCAAATTTCATTCATTAATCCATTGAAACTCGTGTGGCAGATAACCTTCAAAGGTGCATAGATATTACACTCCCTTGATATTAGTTTGTTTCTTGTCATGTATCATTGATACTTGCTCCATAGTTTGGTCCAATACTTCTTCTTGAGGTGGAACCTAAGCTTTTTCTTTGTGAAATCCTTCTTTATTGGCCACAAATTTATTGAGAACACTAATATGGAAAACTGGATGCCACTTCAGTCTTTTTGGGACGTCTAATACATAGACATTTTTGTGCAATATCCACTCAATTATGTAAGGTCTGTCCATTCTTGAATCCACTTAAGAGTGAGGTCTGTAGGATAGGTGAGATTATTTGTGTTCAACCACACTTTATTTCTCTTTTTGTATTATACATTCTTCCTATGCTTATTAGCTTACTTTTTATATCTACTCTAGATCGCTTCCAATCTCACCTTGTGAATACTCATGATGGCTTCTCTTTGCACCATCTACCTTGCTCCTTTCATTGAGTAGAACTCCAAAGTAAGCTCATCACTTTATCTAACTCCAATCAAGTCAATCAGCCTGAGCACATCAAAATCGTGAGCCACTTGGAACGATGTATTACCTAGAGATTCATTTCAAGTTGTATTATAATTAAACTCTACTATGGATAGCGACTTGACCCAATCTTTATGGTCACTTGCCACATAATGTCTCAAGTACATTGAAAGAATTCCATTAATTCTTTCTGTTTGGCCTTCCCTTTGTAAATGCATGTTGTTGTGAGAATGATCTTTGACTCCAAATTTTTCATAACGGGTTGCCAGAACTATATTTTAAAGTAAATGTCTATGTCGCTTATGATTGATTTCGGCATGCCATACAATGAAATCCATGAATCAAAGAAAAGACCTACCATCAACTATGGTGTTGTCTCTAACTCCTCTTAGGAGTCCTTTTGAAACATCAATATCATTGTAAATCTCGCTGTTTTGGTGAACTTGTCAACTACAATTAAAATGGCATTGGCTTTACCACACTTTGGAAAGCCCCTTATAAAATCCAAAGATATGTCTCTATACGATAGAGACAAGATAAGTAATGGTTATAATAGACCTACCTTAGCTTGCATTGAGTGCTTATTTCTTTAGCACATCAAGCAACTTTTTACGTATTGCTCTACATCTTCCTTCAAATAAGGCCAATAGTAAGATTGTGCCACGTCTTTTGTTATGGTCTTCACACCTCTGTATCTTGAGCATGGAGCATCATATATTTTAAACATCACTTTCTTTCTCCACTTACTCTTTGGAATGTAAAGCTGCATTTGTTTCAACCAAATAAGTCCATCCCTTATCAAAGAGACTCCTATAATTCTTCTATGCTTCCTTGTGGATTTAGTTGTAGCAAATACTCTCTTGATTTTCAATGCATCTTCATCTACTTTTTAGGCTTCCTTGATACCTTTTGATGAAGGGAAGTCATCACAACAGACAATCGTACTAAGTGTCATTGTATCATAGAGTTTTACTATCATAAACTCTTCCTTTTTACTTAGCGAGTTTGGAACTAAGTTATCCTTACTCAATTTATGAATTAGCTTGACGTCCATCAAAACAATCACATTATGCAATCTTAGTTCCTTTGAAGATGCCTATTCCTTTGAAATAAGATACTTGAGAGAAATATTTTCAGTGTAGACTTTGGTCTTCTTACCACCTAGGTAGTATTTCCAAGCCTTTAAGCAATGCACCACCCTGAACAATTATTTCTCATGTATTGGCCATCTCAATTGGCTTCTATTTAATTTCTTATTTTTGAACACAATAGATCTTCTTTCTTGCATCAAGATCCTATTGATAGCAAAATTGCTTACATCCATGTAGATCTCTAAATCTTCATTGAATTATAGGTAACTCAGTACTAAAGTGGAAATCAAAAGTTCTTTGATCTCTTAGAAGGACTTCTCGTAGCTCGAGTCCCATCTTATGGACTTACTATTGTTCTTCAAGAGGCTTGTTAGAGGTCCAACAATATTTGAGAAGTTTCTTATGAACTTCCAATAATAATTTATCAATTCCAAGAAAGACCTTATGTCCTTTTGAGTCTTCAGTACCTCCCAAGTTTGGATTGCTTGGATTTTTTTTGGATTCAGCTTTATCCTTCTGCTATTGATAATATATCTAAGAAACTCTAATTTCTCGAGGTAGAAGATACTCTTTTCTTTGTTGGCATATAGTTGGTTTTCTTGCAACTTTGTCAACACAATTTGTAAGTATTTCTTGTTATCTACTTCACTCTTAGAAAACACCAAATATCATCAATATATACGACCACAAATTTATCACTTTCTTTATAAAAAATAGAGTTCATCAACATGGTAAAGGTCGCTAAAGTATTATACAACTCAAAAGGTATTACAACAAATTCATAAGAATCATATCTAGTCTTGCATGCCATTTTTTCAATGCCATCTTGAGTAATCCTTATTTGGTAGTATCTACTTTTGAAATCAATCTTGCTAAACTATTTACTTCTGCTTGGCCTATCTAGCAAGTCGTCAACTTGCAATAGCAAGTAGTTTTTTTTCATGGTGATCTTATTCAGAGCTTGATAATCAATACACATCCTCATTTTTCCATCTTTTTTGCTTACAAAGAAGATTAGGGCTCTAAATGGGAATTTACTTGGTTTGATGTATCATTTTTTTCAACAACTCATTTAGCTATTTCTTTAACTCCTTTAACTCAAGTTAGTTCAACCAATAAGATGTCTTATTTGGAGGTTGTGATCTAGGGACTAACTCAGTTTTATGGTCCACCGCCTTATTTGGTAGCAACTTCTTTAGCAATTCTATCATTAAGTCATTATCAAATTCTAATTCTAACTTTTGTACCAATTTAGGAAGAAATAGAGTGGTCCTTCCCTACTCTACTTTATTAACAAATTTCTCACTTAAAATTTCAAAATCAAGAATGTTGCTTCTCAAATGCAAGAAAAACTGCTCTCCTTTTAGTTCACACTAAGTGACGATCATGATCTTTAATTCATATAGTATTGGGCAATTTGTGAAGGATAGGTCTACAAATTTTCCTTCCACTCCCATCATCACTACCCACATTTTTGGTTTCTATTGAAGCTCCACTCCATAGTATCCTAGAAACATGTTTTCTAATACTATGTCTACTCCACTAAGGTGGCAAATGGTGAAGTCTTCCTGAAACTTCTTATTTCTTTATTGGAACTTTATATCTTTCATGACTAAATAAGATATCTTTCCTCCTTGGGCAAATAATACCTTCACTTTTTTAGTTGATTCTTAAGCCAATTCCAATCTCTTAATACATTCTAAACTCATGAATGAATTGATTGCCCTTCTATCAATCAACATGGCCACTTCAGTATTTCCAATCTTCGAGCTCAAATAAACGAGTTTCTTATGCAAGTTGGTAAAAATAAGTTTTACTTTGAAGCCTCCCTCTTTCACCAAAACTCGCGTTCTAAGACTTAATACTTAAAAATGTTGATCCATCTTAGTCTCGTATCACTGAGGAAAATTAGAACGTGCACTTACTTTCTTTGTTACTTCCTCATTCCTATAGTCATTAGTGTAGTATCCTTTCTATTGGCACTAGAAGCATATCACTGATGTGCTCATCCTTCCCTTTTTTGAACTACTTCCTTGGCTTTCCTTCGCTTTGGACTTAGAAAAGTGAGGAGTTGCTTCATCAAATTTTCTTTTGGAAAATAAATGTCTTTTATAGAAGGACTTTGCTTCTCCTTGAGGACTAGTTTTTTCTTCCTACATTCTTTTCATAGCACTCAATTTATTGTGATCCACCTCTTATTCTTCTATTTTTAATTATATTGCCAAAGCAAAGACATCGTTGAAGTTGATAGGGATTGTTTCCCTCCCCTAATATCTTCTTCTAGATACCATGCTCAGTTCATTATAAAAAAAAAAAATAAGTATTTTTCATAATCTAGCTGAGTGTATGTCAAATGATTCTGGAAGTCACATATTTCAGAAGTGAGGTTTTACTTGCTTCTTACTTGAGCTTGAGCAGTTGCAGATCTTCTACAAAGTTGTGCCATTTGCTTTCAAACCTATGTCAATGCTTTACTTCCTAAAGGAATCTCCTTGTGGTTCTTTTGTGCTCTGTGCCTCGCCACTTCCTTGGCTGATCCATCTTCTATTGATAAGAGCTCGATTTACTCTTTTGGCTCTCTAATAGCGTCTTTTTTCTCATATTCTTTCTCACCAAAGAATTAATTAGAAGCTAATTCACGTCCATCTTCTTCTTAAATTCTCCGTTCTTTTCTTCCATCATTTTTAAAATGATCTTCTCGACTTTAATTCTAAAGACAATTTCTTGTCTATCCAGCTATGAATTCGTTGAGTGGTTCAAAGTTTTAGAGGTGATTTGCCTTTGTGATTTGAGATTCTTTCTTTTTTAATTATTCTCCTTTTTTTTATTAAAAAACTTTGTAGAATCTCTTTTAATCGCAAGGCCTTCTGTGATCTCTTCTGGCTCCATTTGATTTTCTTTACTTCATATTTTCAAGGACTTAGATGTCTCTTCCTTAAGCACAAACTTCTTCTTCATTGCTCTTCACTTCAATCTGAGCTCTTGATCTACTTGTAGCAATTGCAAGTCAGT